CGAATGTTTGAACTGGGCTTGAAGAGAATTTGATCTGGCAAATGCAGTTTGCAACTTCTAAAACTCGATCTAAATAATAGAGTTTTTAAAAACAAAAAAATCTTTAAAAACTTTTTTGGGGGGAAAAAGTAAAAAAAAAAAAATTTTTTTTTATAGAAATAAAATCTGAGGAAACATCAAAGCTTCTCTCAAAACTCTTTTTTTCTAGATGTTTTTCGTAATTTTCATTTTAGGATTGAATTTTTATTTTTAATTTTTATAATTTCTGTTTACCAGACTTTTTCGTTGTTCGCAAATAATAATGGACCAAAATTCATTCCATACATTTGACTCCACCTAAAAAACTTTTTAGACTTGTGTGTACAAAATGAAATAGTACAGCTTTCCAGACAGTAAATGAACATTTCCATTCCATAAAGTACAGTAGTGATCATTTTTATGGCCGATCATGTGACACGACCATGTGTCAAGCTGCAAAGGATGGTCAATCTGATGGTTTAGATTTGAGGAGGAGTTCTTGTGTCTTGGACCACACCCCCTCTGTTTATGGTGTTTCTTCCTAAACACCATAACCAGTTTATCTTCCTCTGAGGGTGTCACATGGTTGGCCGTTTCCATCCGGACAGTAGAACCCTTCATCTTCCAAAGGAAGAACGGTCCACCTGCATCCCTGTGGTCAGCTCTCACTCATACATGTTGTTTGAACAGGATGAAGAAATCTCCGTCCAAGTCAGACACCGGCTGAAGAATGCTCCTCAAAACGGTCATCTGTGACCTCCACCACTCCTGACTCTACCTCGCTGGACTGGAGCTCACCGGGAACCGCAGGACACCCATTTCATACGCCGGGACAAAAACGCCAGACGATCAGCAGCCTCTTTTATCTGAGACGCAGCCTCACACTGACACCGATACGTTTATCAGGGTTGTAAAGAGAAAAGGTTTTCCAACCATTCATGAGTTTTTAATGAACCTTTGACCTGTTTGAGGTGATTGAAATGACATCATCCGTAGTTATGGAAACTGAAACCTATTCAGAGGTTTTCAACACAACCTCTTTAACAAAATAACATAAATTCCCTTACAGTATATTCTCTAATCTTTTGGGAAACTGAAATCTTCAGACGTTTGCTGCTATCCTCACATTTATACCTGAATGTATTCTGACTCACTGCAAAAAATGATCCAGAAATAAGTAAAAATGTCTTAAATGAAGTGTATTTAGCCTTAATTTGAGGAGTTAAATTAGACGATTTGCAAAATGAATGAGTATAATTGCACAAGATAATTCGATAATGTGCACTTGAAATAAGAATTGTTTATTATTTAAATATAAATTGCCTTGCTCCGTTGTAAAGCATATCGTTTACCTCCTCAATTCAAGAAAAATGCAATATTTAGATTAAAATTTTTTGCAGTGTGGACTTTAAGAGATGCAACAAAACAAAGTATGTCTTCAACTGTGATGCGAGAAACAGGATTTATGATTTCAGATTTTTCACAGTAAAATGGGGCACATTATGTTCAGCCCCGAGTTCTATCTATGCAGTCACCTTTCCATTGCAAATAGAGCTGGAGCGATTAGTGTTAATGGTTCTGATCCGTTTCCATTTGGACTTTATGTTGTTTTATTCTCTCATAGAAGCCAAAGGACTCTCTATTTTTTGGTTGTGGCATAACTACTTTAGCAGGAACTTCTTTCTGTTTATGATCTGGAAAAACTCTGCTGGGATTATCTGGAATCAAACAGCAATGCGTTTCATTTCACAGATTTAACCGATGGTGTCTGGGCTGCTGCTTGGATGCTTTCAGGTCATTTCACCAAGGTTTTCATATTTCTGTCACAGTTTAACGAATTGAGCCTTTTCTAATTCAGTATTGCATCATTAACATTATTCATAATTCTAAGTATTGCATCGTTAACATTAGTCACCCATTCTGGGTTCATTTATAACAGCGGTAGTGTTTTATGATTTTTAAACGTCCTTTAACAGATTATGTAGCTGAAAGCTGTTTGTTTCCGTTAGTCGTGGAGCTGTGCTGGTCGGCTGTTACTGTAAGACGCTGCCGGATTGTCACGACGGTGCGATAAGCTGCACGACTTATTTCAGGTCCATGTCTTGTCAAGTGCAGCAGTTCCTGTTCATGAGTGGAGAACAAAAACGGTTACGGAAGCACGAGGACGCAGCGTGGAGGATCACTGACTTTAGTGTTTGATAACAGTGTTACCTGTTCTATGTTTACCGTTATAAAATAATGACTTGAAAACTTGTACTTAAATCCTTTGTTGTGATTTTAATTTTAAGTTAAAAAATGATGTAGAATGATGATAAATATCGTGACAGCTGAAGTAAAAACTGTTGCTTTAAGATTAAAGTCGTCTGTATTTGGACTGCAGTGTTCATTTATTTTCAAGCTATGAAAACCAATAAATTCATGATTGATTGGAGCGATGGCCCTGAAAGGAAACGGACCCTGGATGTATTCAGAGGTTAAACGGTTCCTTCTTCTCACAAAAACTACATTTAGATCAGATCTGTTACACAATTAACCCATTATATTATGGACATGGGCGTAGGTTTGCATAGGGACACGTCCCTACCAAAACTTTGGACGGACCTACCTGTCCCTGCAAACAATTAGATGTGAACACCATGTTTATAATTTACAATACAGTTGTTGCAGCAGTAGATGAGTTCTGGAATGGGGAATATTGACAGACGAAAACATGTTTTATCTAAAATGGAAAATGTATCAATTTTTTTTTTTTACAATTTTGGTATAATTCTTGCTCTAAGTTGGTCGCTCTGTGAGCTAAAGACATCTTTTAGAGTCTCGATATTCCATAATGATCAATCGATTACTAAATTTGTTGACATTATTTCAATAATTGATAATCCAATGAATTATTTCAGCCATAAATAAAATACATGAAATGGGTTAAACAGAGTAACTACAGCCTAGATGTAGAGCTTGTAGAGTGAAGTTAATATATTAAATGCTCAGTGTCAGTTGCTCTTCTATTTCTAGTGCAATACATGTATTTGGCGTCCCTTGAATCTATTATTTTGCTTTGTTCTAATGATACAAAGAGAACATTTAAAAGATAAGAATGGGTTTTACCTCTGCACGAGTATAAATCCACATATAGCAGACATATTTAGACTATATTCTGTTAAATAGGCACAGATTTACCTACTGTTTTAGGTAATTTCAAATGCAAACCTTTTCAAAGTGGAAAAAAAGTCCCATTTCCTCATTCATCAGAGCCAGTAAAGCGTCAGTCATTCATAAACAGCATCTAGTGTGCGTAGTGCTTATAAAATTAGTATAAATGTAGCAAGAAATGCTGCTTTTCTCTTTAAACGAAATACACCCTGATTTTCACGTCAAGCATAAAAAAAGGAGCATGCATATTTTTGCATAGGACCAATGACATCAGACCAACAGTGTCCCTACCAAAGTTGAAATCAAATCTACGCCCTTGATTATGGAGGACCTGGAGAGTCACTAAAACAGCAAACTGCCATTTCAAACATATGAATTGTGCAATTTGAAAAGCGTTTTCTAATTTTAAATTGAACTATTGAAGAGGAATTGTAAATTGTATTTATTAAACCTTTATTAAATACTCAAATTTTAAAATGTATTTTCAAAAGCCATTTCTTAATGGAGGTTTAAGGAACAACATTTGTATATTTAATTATAAATACCTCTCTTAAACCTTTATAGGGCACTCAGTGAAATACTTTGAAAATCAAAATTTTGAGCCACTTCTGTTCAATAGTGAATCCAGGACAAGACCTTATTACCTTTGTAACATTCAAAAAATATGAATATTTTGATTTCAAAAATCAATGTCAATGGAATAAAAAGAAATGCCAACTTGCCCGAATATATAAAGAAAAATAACAAAAGTGCTTCTGACACATTTTTTAATTTATAAACCTAAATATAATTGTTAACTAGGCTTATTAACTTTTGAACTTTACTTTTTAACTTTTCAATTAGCTTTTTTTCCTCTTTTTCTTGACTTGTTAACTTTTTTCTTTTTTTAACTTAATTTCCAGTAGGTAATATAAATAATTCAAGGGCTCGTCTAATTGGTCAAATTCCAAAATAAGATGTACAGCCATTTACAGGATCTTTATTGAATGGCTGGATATAAATGTTATGCTTCCAGACCTCACTGAGGGATGGGGGTGGGGGGGGGACTCCATTAGTAAGGAGCATGCAAGTGATCAATAACAGTAAAGCCCTATAAAGGGTTAATCACACATTTAAAAAGGTTACCGTATTCCTTATTCCATTTTTTTCATATTACAAATTGCATTTTCTGAAACTGCATTTTCGTTTTGGTTTATCTGTTCATCATTAACTTTTCCTTGACCCTTCTGGTCCCTTAGCAAACAGGGAACCAGTGACGGGTCCAGCAACAGCGCGGCATGGAGCCCATAGAGTGAAAAAGTATAATCTTTTGCTGTTTATCATTCAAATTATCAAGAATTTTAGAGCAGCCTAAATGGAATATGAACGTTTCAGCCATTTCTTTCAGGTATCACTAAACTTATTTGAATTAAAATTATTTTTAACTTGACTCTTAGTTTTACTGTTTACACCGTTTTAAAAATAAGATTTAAAAACCTAATCCACAGGCATCCTCATTCATTTGCCCCTAAATTATCACGTTATATATGTTTACATTATTTATTGGCTGCATCTAAAAATAGCAAAGAATTTTCAATTTAAACATAAAGGGTTTCTGCAGGTCATTAAAAATCATTAAAAGTCATTAAATAATTTTTTTAATTAAAGCCTTAATTGGCATTAAAATTCATTAAATGTGTTAATTGTGGCATTTAAAATGTTTTGTTAAAAAAATGTTTATAAAAACAAATTTCGTCATACATATTATATCAGGATATATTTGCATGGAACTGCTTCCGGGAAGCTGTATGTTCAGAAAAGAAGCTTAAGTCGGAGAAAAAGTTGTAGAATGGGAGGAAAAAAAAGCAAATTTAAAAAAAAAAATGGCTGGAAAAAGAGGAATTCAGGACCTGGCTGCAGCCTGTTGACAGGTACCTGTTGGTGGCATTAAAATTATTTCTAAGAGCATTAAAAAAGCATTAAATTTGAGTCATTAATTCCTGTATAAACCCTGTAGATAGGAAATAATACAATATAACCTACCTAAATGATATCACTGTACTATGTCATCAGATTAATTCAGTTTAGTCTGTCAGATAATCTGCCTGTAGTGTCTGTAAATGTCCAGCAGGTGCAGTATTCTGTGAGACAGTATCAACGCAGCATCAACAGTTTGGCAATGTGGAGAAACACTTCAAGATGCCTCATTAACTTTTCACTACCGGGAAGTTCCAGGTATGTCCAAAGGACTTGAAGGCCGCCGTCCTGCAGCTTTTAGAGGTTTTCCTGCTTCTGCAGCTGATTCTGATGATTGCAATTCAGCAAAAGCCTGTTAATCAGCTATTAAAAGGTGGAGCAGAGAAACCTCTGAAACCTGCAGGACAGCAGCCCTGAGGACCGACTTTAGACATGCCTG